CTCTCTCTCTCTCTCTCTCTCTCTCTCTCTCTCTCTCTCTCTCTCTCTCTCTCTCTCTCTCTCTCTCTCTCTCTCTCTCTCTCTCTCTCTCTCCCTCTCTTTCTTCTTTGTAATCATTTTCAGAGGCATAAGAGTTTTAAAGTATCAATCTTTAGATAGGAATTTGACAATTACGTGCTGACTATAACATAATATTGAGTGTTTTATGTTTTTTTTCCTATCAAACTTCTCAGCTTGTAGTTCAAATTTTCCCAAATACGCTACGGACTACGGATTGATCATTCCAAACGGAAGCTATGCTCTCACCGCAGGCCACTGTGTACAATGCAGTTGTGTACTCGGAAGCCACAGGTATTACGCAATTTGAGTTTTGCTAATCGTATTTTGGCTAATTTGCTGATCTTCTTTTGCATTGATGTGATCACAGTATGTATTGTGAGCCTGCTTCTTTAGCAGTCTCTTGTTCGAGTATGCGATGTAGAAACAGCAATTTCATGCTCGGGAACATCTCTTCGCAGTAGAGTAGCTCGGGTTGTAAACTTACTACTTGTAATTACAATGGTTTCGTTAGCGGCACTATCTTGACCACGTAATGAGTCTTTTCTTATCATATTTCAACTGCTAATAGATTGGTTAACAACCTATCTAACCAATCTCTTCTAATAATCAATCATATTTTAGTTTTTTAAAGAAAATAATAAACCATTAACAAAATGACATGTTTAATATTAGTTTCTTTTCTAGCTTTTAGTTTCTTATTTTTATTTTTATAACTTGAGAAACCCTATTCCTTGATATCACATTTTATCACGTGTTACTTGTTGTAGAACATGTATTTCATATAGTTTTCATATGTCATATTGAATGATAGGGAGAGTGAATATATACAAGAGGAGGTCTGTAGCCTCTAGGTTTCGTATTAACTACATATTCCTAATATAGAGAAATCACATATTCACAAGTATCTAATCATATCTCTGACACTTGTGATTCTATCCTCTCTCACGTATTTTTCATTTTTTTGTAAGATAATTGTCTCTTAAAAACCTGTAGATGGCTCTACGATCCCGTGATATGGCATCTCCGCTACCCCTTGAATCCCATGGATCTGCTACACCGGCTCCAAACCTTGGCATATCCTTCACCGACGAGGATCTCCTTCTGCCGTTGGCCCAGAGAAGAAACCTCCGTCTCCATCCCCATTGCCATTGCTGGTCCAAGCTTCCTTCAGATCTAATACAATTGGTATTCGACCGCCTTGGTTTTGCAGATTTCCAACGAGCTAAGTGCGTGTGTTCGTCATGGAGATCAGTTTCGAGAAAGTCTCAGCCAAATAACCAAATCCCTTGGATGATTCGATTCCCAAAGGGCAACGGCTACGATTACTGTCTCTTGTTCAACCCTGAAGAAAAAGACAAGATGTACAAAACACCAAATCTCGGCAACGATTTCACCAAGAACGTTTGTGTGGCGACTTATAAAAGCTGGTTTCTGATGCAACCAAAATACAAACACATAGATGAAGACTGTAGATTGAATCTATACATTCTTGATCTTTTAACACGGGAGAGAATCAATCTACCGACCTTCGTATCAGGGTGTGGACTCATATGTTCAATACTTTGGATCGATGAAAAAACCAAAGATCACCTAGTTATTGGAATGTCTGAAGAAGATCATGCCATTTCTTTCAAGAGAGGAGACAATTCGTGGAAACAAATCCCATCCTTGTCAGGTATCGAGGAGTGTTTTAGCATGGTTTTCAAGGATCATAAGCTCTACTGTCTCAACTTTGGTAAACTCAAGGTCTTCGATTTTTCTGGAGATACTCCGTTCAGAGTTTTCAAAACCAGCGTAAGTGACTTCTTACAACCACCGAGACCTTTTGGTATGAGGATGCCTGGAACTTCATGGAAGGACAACGTGGTTCACTCAAAGAATAAAGTAGTTGTCACGCTAGCCGGAGATGTCTTAATCGTTAAGTGTCGTCGTCCGAATGTGTCCAAAATATGGGAGTTTAAAATCTACAAGATGGTTGGGAACAACCAGTGGGAGGAAATTTATTCTTTGGGAGACGAGGCCATTCTTTTGGATTTGGGTATCACACTGCTCGCCAAGGACATGGAGGGAATCCAGAAGAATTCTATCTACTTCTCCATGGATACTATCCTTTTCGAAGATCAATATGACAAAACCGAAATCTTCATATTCAACCTCGATTCAAAACAGGTTCACCTACCGCACCGTTCTGTTTGCTCTTCCTTTCCCTGCTCTAGATCCCGATGGTTCTTGCCATGTTTCAAACGAGAATGAATAATTCTTCTTCGGTGCATATGATTCTTAATACATATTGATTATTGCAACATTTGATATTATATTCTTGTGAGGGTTTTGGACTCACATCTATAAACACAAAACACAGAAAAGCTGTCTATTCTCAAGTTATTTATCTCGTGACTAAATTACTGACCCAGTTGCAGAGCTTTTAGCTCTTTCTATTGATTGTTTCGTTGATGTTGTTGGAATAAGCTTGAAGAAGAGATAACTTAAAGAGGAAGTTATCCTAATCTACCAAGTTATGGAATTAGGAAAAGAAGTTTTAGGAGTTATCTAGACTTGTATTATTTCCGATTTAGATTAGGAAGTTTGTTTTGTCTCTTCTCTATATAAGAGTTACCAATGTTGTGGTTAACCTTGTGAGCTTTGAGTAAGAGACTGAGAGCTTAAGTTTCAAGTTAGTTTCTTAAGCTAATAAAAGTGAGTTATAATTTTAACAATCTTGTGTTCTTGATAGCTATATTGATATTCTAAAGATGTTATTTACAAAACCTCTGCGGAAACGCAAACCCCTTATTCATGGTTTTTTTTGTTTACCTTCGTAATTAATTTATTGAACTAATTTGTGAATATATAATATATTTACTGAGTCAACTGTAATTTGTTAATTTAGTTTTCAAATTTAACACCGTTACTCTCTTATTAGACTGACTCGTTTGAGTTCTTCACGGATGCGAAAGTTCTGCCAAGTATCATCCATTGAGCATCACACTAAATCCCATGCAAGAGTGTTTAATGGACAATAACGCTCCATCAGCCTCGTTTACTAAATGAGCCAAGAAGCACAATACGACAAATTCAAAAATATCAACAATCCTACTTCATCAACAAAATAGATCAATAGCTATTACATTTTTTAAATGTCTAAGTTTGATATAGACATCTCATTAAGCATAATGCGGTTGTCAAGGTGGATAGCGTGTGTTTTACAAACAAAGCAATTTGAATATCAATGTTTTAGGCTCTCACAAATTTTTCTGTTGTGTAAAACAGACTCTAACTAAGAATTTTAAGCTAAAATGACATTAAACAACAATATTGGTAGAAAATAACATCACGAGTGTATGAAGTGCGATACTTACTTAGTATAATTTTCAAATGATTTCAGATTCTAAGGTTAAGAGAAGGTCCCATAAAAAAAAAAAGCTAGGCCACTTGCTTGTCACCACTTGGGCTGGGTAGCTTTAGAAGAACTCAAATGGGGAGATGCAGCTCATAAATGGATTAAACCGGGAAGTTTACTCACTTGCGGACCCGGAAACTACAATATACCTTCTATTAATGACATGCCATTCCACCTCAATGTTTCTCTTCTCAAGGTAAAGCAACTATAATTTAAATTGGTAGCGACACATGTGAAACTGAACCTAAGAATATACTCCATCTAAAGCAGTGGGTGAGCCACCGTTCTTTCTTGCATCATCAGTTTTCTTTGCAATAAAGGAAGCGATTAAAGCGGCTAGAACCGAGGTGGGTCTCACAGACTCGTTCCCTCTGGAGAGTCCAGCGACGCCAGAGCGTATTAGGATGGCTTGTCTCGACGAGTTTTCAACCCCTTTTGTAAGTTCAGATTTCTCTCCCAAGCTTAGTGTTTGAACTTTAGAAAAGATCAATCAATCTATTGTGAGAGAGTCATGTCTGTACCAGTCTCCAAAGACAATGTGACATTACACATATACATCAAGGTTTGACTTTATTTGTAATGTAACGCGGTGCGTGAGCCGTAGTCAAGGAAAAGAGAGAGGGTCCAAAGCTGAGTAATTTTGTAAACTAGTGTATAAACAAAAATATTATTTGTATATTTGAGATTTATAAACGTAAATAGTACAAATATAAATAAAACAGCGTATGTAAATTATATATATATATAAAAATCTACATATATAGATTTCAAAATCATAAATATACACTACTTTTATAAAAACGTTGAGATTTGACGGCAAGACTCTGTTTCTGCTTCTGCTTGTCTTTGAGAGAAAAATTATGATTTTTGAAGCAAGCCTTGTAGAAACGGGAGGATGAAGATGATTTTGAAGTTTCTGTATTTATTTATAGGCAAGGCAGCTTTCTTTCTAACCGTTGTGTAAGTAATAACGGCTCTATCATGCAACCCATTTTCAAGTTTAACTTTTTTTTTTTTCCAACAATAAAATAGAATTAGCTCAAGTGAGCCAATTAGGAGGACAGTTGTTTACATACTTAATGAGATGCGGAGAGGAACGAGCTTGTCGTGGCAGAGAGTCCGCTTTTACATTTAGATTTCGTGAAATAAGAGATAAAGAAAAAGTTGAGAATTCTTCCCTATCCATCTCGATATCGTCCAGGTAAACAGAAAAAGCTGGCCATTCTGAAGGGGAAGACACCATCTTTACCAGGTCTGAACAGTCGGTAAGAAACATCACATCACGGAAGTTGTGACCAATCATGCAACGCATTGCCCAGATTAGAGCTTCGACTTCAGCATGTAGGAGAGATAGACTTCGGCGCAGGTTCGAGGCCCCCATCCAGGTCAAAGAATCCTGAGGCTGCTGACAGAACCATCCTAGGCCTGCAAACGTATCCGACGCCTTCCATGATCCATCCACATAACACCTATACCGATGATCCATCGCGGGTAACAATTCCGAACGCCTTCGAGGTCCGGAAGAAGCAAGTGGGATCGGCATTGTGGTACTTAAATCCACAATCTGGGCCTCAGACCACATTTTCAAGTTTAACTTATTTAATTAATTTACTCGTTTGATATTAATTTAAATCATTTATTAATCACTCGGTTGGTAATGAACAAAAATAATTAAAGCTTAGTAATTATCTTAAAATTGAAGAAAATTAATTATAATATATCATTGTTAGAGAAAATAATTTATTATGAGTATATCTAAAATAAAAAGAAATAATGAAATAAAATGACCATAGTAAAAAAAAAGCACGATTTGTTTTTGATATAATGGAGTCGCAATGAAAAAAAAAATATGATAATTTGTTTACAACCATTTAACTGAACCGTGACTCTCCATTTTATCAAAACTTATTATTTTAGGGTATCGTTTATTTTTTTACCATAGTAATTTTTGATAAATAGTCATAATTCAGATAAATGGTTGCAACTTGCAATAATTCTTAATAAAAAAAATTAATAATTTATATCTGAAAAAAATACGAAATGTTATAACTGTAATTTTTTCTCCATTAAATTTTAATAGGCTTACAAAAATTTCACAGAGAATCAGGCTTTTTTCCTAATATAAATTAAATCAAATATAAATAGGTTGAGACCGGATCGTTAGAACTTACAATGTATTCAAAGGAATAACAATTTTACTCGAAAAAAAAAATTATACCATTCAAACGGTAATCAGAAATTGGAAATGTAAAACAAGGTTCAGGCTATAGAATTTCGTGTTGTATTCATCGGAGGAGGAGCTTACAATATATAGGCTACACAAGATCTCGATCCTAACTAGATTACAATCGTATCTACAAGAGTATATTAACCATTCGATGATAAGTACAATTCGATGATAAGTACAAGGTACTAAGATCCCGGAAGATCTCTGTGTGAGATACGGATATATTCATCTCAAATATATCCGTTAACACCCCCCCCCCTCAAGTTGAGCATGCGGATTCCAAGTGCCCAACTTGGCCACTATATCTTCAAACTCTCGTCGACCAAGTGCTTTAGTAAACACATCAGCGAGCTGTTCCTTAGTGTGAACCTTCTTTGTCCGAATTGCTCCACTTTGTATAGCGTCACGAACATTGTGACAGTCTATCTCCACTCCTTTCGTTCTTTCATGAAACACGGGATTGGCTGCAATGTGCAAAGCAGCTTGATTATCACAATGTAAGTCTGTTGGTTCAGTTTGAGACACTCCAAAATCAGCAACCAAGTGACGCAACCACTCCAACTCTTTGACTGTTAACGCCATACACCGATATTCAGCTTCTGCGGATGAACGTGCAGCAACCTTTTGTTTCTTAGTCTTCCAAGATATTGGAGATGAACCAAGCATGACGATCCAACCACTCACTGAGCGTCTAGACAACGGGCACCCTGCCCAATCAGAATCACACCAGCCGTGTAGCTTCAGATCACTAGACGCATTCAAAAGTATTCCTTGACCAGGTGTACCCTTTAAATAACGCACAACACGTAGTGCACAACGCCAATGATCTATCCGAGGACTCTGCATAAACTGAGACAGAACATGAATAGCATATGTCAAGTCCGGACGAGTAGCAAGAAGATAGACCAGCCTTCCAACCAAACGTCGATACTTCTCAGGTTCCTCCAGCAGAGGACCATCTGCGAGAGCAAGTTTGTGTTGTTGTTCAATGGGAAACGCAACCGGCTGTGACCCAAGATATCCCACCTCATTGATGATATCCAATGTGTATTTTCTTTGACAAAGAAAAATACCATCATTGTTCCTTGCTACTTCAATCCCTAAGAAGTATTTTAACGAGCCAAGGTCTTTCATATGAAAGCATTCACCCAAATACTTCTTAAACTTTGCTATTCCAGCTGTATCATTCCCACCAATGATCAAATCATCTACATAAACTAAAACGTAGATCTCAGAGGTTCCTTGACGAATATAAAACATCGAATAATCAGCATGTGATTCTTTAAAACCATAGTGTGTAAGTGCTCCCTTCAACTTAGCAAACCAACACCGTGGAGCTTGTTTTAACCCATACAACGACTTCTTGAGCAAACAAACTGAATTGCGATCTTCACCATTACGGAAACCGGGGGGAAGTTGCATATATACTTCTTCCTCCAACTCGCCATGTAAAAACGCGTTGTTTACGTCCATCTGATGCAACTCCCACTGTTTTGCTGCAGCAACTTCAAGAAATGTTCGAACTGTTGTCATCTTTACAACCGGAGCAAACGTCTCATCATAATCCACCCCTTCTTTCTGATTATTCCCCAACACTACTAATCTTGCTTTGTGTCTTTCTAACGTTCCGTCGGCGTGATACTTCAGTTTATAAATCCACTTGCATCCTATAGCCTTCTTCCCTGGTGGTAACGTTGTTACAGTCCACGTTTTGTTCTTTTCGAGTGCATCAATCTCCTTCTGCATAGCTTCGCGCAACTCTTTATAAGCCACAGCATCACGAAACGTAGTTGGTTCTGTTCCAGCAATAGTCGATGCCAGAAACGATCTATACTTTGGTGAGAACTGACTGCAATCTATATATTTCGAGATTGGGAACTCGATGTCGTCACTAGCCTCACCGTCCTTTTTCTCTGTGTCACATACAACCTGCAACACGTAGTCTTTCAGTCGAGCTGGCAGTACCTTTGGTCGCTTGCCAGGTCCAAATTCCTGTGTATCATCGACAACACCATCATGGTCTTCATCTTGTTCAGACAATTCCTCAACGTCAGAAAGCAGCTCAGCAATTTCAGTTTCATGATTTATTGTCTCCAACACTGTACCAGTAGTAACATGTTCTGTCGCCAAATCAGAAACTACAACTTCGTCATCCACTTCTGACACTTCATTGATAGCCTCATCAGTTACAACCGCAATCTTATCCTTGGCTGATGCAACCTCATCTGTGACTACCTCAAGTTCTGCACCAAAATCTGAAGTATCATTCAACTTGTGGACATCGATGAATTCACCAGAACTCATAGGGAAAGTGTTCTCAACAAACACGACATCTCGTGAGACAAACACTTCCTCCGTATCCAAATCATACATATTCCAACCTTTTTTTCCAAACAAATACCCAAGGAACAAACATCTTCTACTTCTTGCTTCAAACTTATCTCCTCCTCTTTTTTGATTATGAGCAAATGCTAAACAACCAAAGACTTTTAGATTGTCATATGTGGGAGCAGTTCCGTAAATTAATTCATATGGAGTTTTTCCTTTCAAAACTCGGGATGGCGTTCTATTGATCAAATAAGCCGCAGTTAGAACACTTTCTCCCCAAAACTTGACCGGAAGCGAGGACTGAAACAACAGTGCTCTTGCAACATTCAAGATGTGTCGATGCTTCCGTTCGACTCTCCCGTTCTGTTGTGGTGTCCCAACACATGATGTTTGATGAATGATTCCTCTTTCTTGGAATTCAGTTGTGAGACAAGTAAATTCGGTACCGTTGTCACTCCGGACTATCTTGATATTCTTCCCAAACTGATTCAACACCAACGCTATAAAGTTTCTCAATGTTTGCTTCACTTGTGATTTTTCTCTAAGTAGATACACCCACACACCTTTTGAGAAATCGTCTACAATTGTAAGAAAATAGACTGAATTGCACAAGCTTGGACTACGGTACGGTCCCCATAAGTCACAGTGAATCATATCAAAAACTTCGTCGCTTTTATTATTGCTTAAGTGAAAAGCCTCACGGCTATGTTTTGCTTTTACACAAATTTCACAAACTGAAAAATCCCTACTCGGACTACTAACAACAGGAAGCAAATCTAAAACTCCTTTAGACGGATGTCCAAGCCGTTGATGCCACATATCATCGACTCCGTCTTTATTCAGATGAAAAGCTTTAAAATTTGGTAAGCGACGAAAGAAGTACAGCCCGTCTCTAAGCTCTCCCGCGCCAGTCAGGATCCTCGTTGTATGGTCCTGAAGTACACAACCTTTGTTAGCAATTTGCATTACTACATCTAAATCCGCAATGAGCTGAGAAACTGAGATCAAATTGCATTGTAAGTCTGGTACAAACAAGACGTTCTTTAACTCAAAATCAACATCAAAAACCACTGTTCCTTTCTCTTTAGCCAAACTCTGACTTCCATTTGGCAAACCAATGGAACAAGGCAACATATACTTCTGATCAACAAGAAGCTCACTATACCCCGTCATATGATTCGAGGCTCCTGTATCAATTACCCAGTCAAGAGAGAGTGACTTACCATTAAGACGTGGATCTGTCCCCTGCTTCTCGTTGAGAAGCTTGATCAACGTTCCCCACTGGTCATTGGTTAGACCTGTGTAACCGTTCCTCTCAGCTTCTGCACTTGTTTCACCCTCGGGTTGAACAACTGCTGCGTTCGCGCAAATCACACCTCGCCCTCTTCCATTTCCTCGACCTCCACCACGTCCACCTTGACGTGACCGTTCACCCCACCATGCCGGATATCCAATGACTTGGAAACAGGTTTCTACCGTGTGTCCCGTCTTTTTACAAGCCGTGCAAAGCAACTTTGACTTGTCCTCATACCCAACAGATGCATCACCATTACGAGCAACAAATGCGACTTGAGAGGGTTGTTGTTCTCTTCCACGCATGACATTGTTTACTCTCTCAACAGACTTCACCTTTGAGTACACTTGATTCATGTTAGGCAAAGGATCTGTACCGATGACTGAAGTACGCATCCCTCCATACACCGCCTCATCAAGTCCGAGAAGGAAATGATGAATACGGTCCTCTTCTTTCTTCTTCTCAAGTTTGGCGTTGAGATCACATGTGCATCCTCCACAATTGCACACCACCGCCGTTTCATAGTTGCTTAGATCTTCCCACAAGACCTGCAACTTTCCATAGTAATCGATCACCTTCATGTTACCTTGACGACACAAGGCAAGCTCTGCCTTAATCTCTTGAATCCGAGGACCATTTCCTTCAGAGAAACGATCCTTGATCGCCTTCCACAGTTCCATTGGATCTTCCTTGT